GCAAAATAGAATAGAGGAACACCAGTCAAAACAAAATGGTGAGAGCAATACAGGGCTTCAAATCAAGTTAATAGAAAACCAAGGTGGGTTACTATAATATATCCTGCTATTTTTTTATTTATTTTTCCCTTAATTAAAAGGATAAAAATAAAGAAGTAAATAATAAAATGGAGATTGAGATACAAGAGGGCATAACAACAAAACAGTGCAGATCAAAACATAACCATTTAGGGGGCTGGGGATTTAGTTCAGTGGCACAAGCGCCTGCTTTGCAAGCAGGCAGTCATGAGCTCCATCCCCGGTACCAATAAAAAGGAAAAAGACAAAAAAAAAAAAATAACCATTTAAACAAAATAGTGTTTCACCACAAGATAATCCCGACATAAAAGTAGTTACCATATTGTCTCTTTCCTTGAAATCTTTGAGTATAACTTCGTAAACTGTAGCATCAAATATATCAAAACAATGTAAAACCATTCAAGAGAATGACAGTATTACAGGGTATTTAGAATCAACTAACAGAAAATGAACAATGGTTTCTGTATAATCTCCTTGTCTATAAAAGGTTTTGTTTATACTATCACATATAATAAAATCCAATAGGATACAATATGTTAAGACCTATGGAGACAGAAGAACAAAAGCTTAATGAGACTTCAAAACAAGATGATACTAAATCAGCACTACCTATTATGATGTCGTTTTCTCCAAAATAGCTGTTCCTATCATCCAATCTTCTCTGCCTCATTTCTGTTGAGCTCTTTCTCTGTCATTAGTTGTCAGCTTGTCTTCCTCATTTTGTTTTCTGCTCCATTCATTGTGGCCCCTCTGCTACTATTTCTGGATTCTTCGTATTTTTCTTTTTTAGAATATCCTGCAGTATTCTCTGTAGAGATGAATTGGTGGTTGCATATTCCCCTAGTTCCTCTTTATCCTGGAAGCACCTTGTTTTTCCATCAATTTCCAGGGATAGTTGTGCAGGATATATCAATCTTGGCTGGAGATTATTATCTTTCAAAGCTTGAATTATGTCCCCCCACGCTCTTTGTGATTTGATGGTTTGTGCCGAGAAGTCTGCTGTAATTCTGATGGGTGTTCCCTTGTAAGTGATCTGTTTCTTGTCTCTGATGGCTTTTAATATTCTGTTCTTCTATTGGATTTCTGGAAGTTTGATTATTATATGCCTGGGTGTAGCTCTGTTTGGGTTGTAGGTGGCTGGGGTCCTGTATGCTTCATACATATGATTATTTTTACCTTTTGCTAAATTAGGAAAATTCTCCTGGATTATTTCTGAGAGTAGCTTTTGTAGTTCATTTGTTTGTGTCCCTACTTCTTCTTTTATGTTAATTCTTAAGTTATAGATCCTCTTATCATCTTCTAGTCTTTGTATTATTGCTGTTTGTTTCTTTGTTATTTTTAAGAAGTTTTTCATTTCACGCTCCCATATTACACATCTGGCCTCCAGTTCAGATAATCTATCCTTAGTTTCTTTCAAGCTGTTATGCCAGTTTTGATAGAGATTTTAGTTTCCTGGTAATCTCTTTGAACCTGCTTCACATATTCTATGTTGTCTCTATTTTATCCATCAAACAATTCTCCCTTCTTTTTCTGTTTTTCCATTCCACCATCTGCTTTTTCTTGGGTGGTGCTTAGCATTTCTCTAACTATTCTGCTTATGTCTTGCTTCAGGTTATTAATAACTTCATCCCTGAACTCGTCTATGATGCTCTGGAGATAGCGCTTTATGTCTGTTGGTGCCGTGTCTGCTATTGCCTGTTTCTCAGGATTGGGGGCCGAGGGCCCTTTCTTGTTGCTCTCTCTTCCCATATTCTTTGTTCCTTATATATGCAAATGTATATAGGAAGCCCAGCTTCCTTCCCTGTTGGCCACAGTCTGATTCAATTGCGCCGACTAGGTGTTCCCACCCACCACAGTGCACCAGGGAGTTACGGACCAGGCAGCCTATGCGGGGCCCGCCCCTCCAGGTCAACCTACCGACAGCTTCACTGCTAGGGTGCACCTCCAGGCACTGGGACCTGGGTTGTGCTAGCCTACTGGGTCTCAGCCAGCAGCATCACATAGGCTAGGCACTGCTCACCAATCCTGCTTGAGAGAGGGATATGTGACTGAAGTCAGTACAGCGCCCTGTTCCGGAAAGTCTGCCCTGCCCTCTGTTGGAGCCTCCTAGACTGTGAAAGAGTCCATTTCCCTCACTCACCGCAGGTTGATGCACAGCTCCCCGCCCATCCAACTCTCAACTCAGTTCACCAATTCCCGTTCTCAGAGCTTTCACACGGCTCTCTCCCTGCCGAGCCGATTGAGACGCAGCAGCGGCAGCAGGAAACCCAAATCGCGGCTTTCAATGGCGTGGGCTCCAGCTTCCATGCTGAGGCTTTATCTGTTATAGAACCAGGATTACATTCCCAGTTGGTTGCTCTCAGCCCAGTTCGTTCTTGGGTCAGCAGAGTGTATCTCCTCTTGCTTAAGATTCCTCACTCCGCATCATTCCTGGATTCTAAGCTGGGTCTCGCAGAGAGCCTGAGTAGCTGCTGCTATCTGTCCGCCATGTTCTCCCGGAAGTCTATGTAAGGCTTTTAAAACAATGTCTGGTAATGTCTGGCAAACAGTAAACCCCGTGTAAAAGTCTATCTCCATTATCTTCCTATCACTTAATATTGAAAAGAGGACTAATAGTACACAAAGCACTACTTTAATTACTTTGAAAAGTATTTGCTACATAAAATAGGTGTTAGCAAAAATGTGGTCTTAGGTTCTTCAAATCTATACCCAGAAGAGTAAAGCAATAACATATTTTACCAATACAAAAACAAGTTTTGAAACTTAAAGTAATTTAATTTGTTCTACTTCACACAATTAAAATTGTGGATCCTATTTTTTTTCTAAGCATTGTAATTTGGGTTCACTGATCAAGTGAACTTTAAACTGCAAAATAGAAGGAAGAAAAAGTTCAGGTATTTCAGTATGTACAAAAGAAGCTGGGCATGCTCTGCAAAGAAAATGACAATATGGAAAATGGTGGAGAATGGTTGAATGCTGTCAATAAGTCTTAGGTCCTTGAAAACCTACAGAATATGGATACTAGTATCTAGAATATGGATATTAAACAAAGAAAGGAATGGATACTTCAAGAGTACAAATAAGTTAGCATGATACTGTGAAGCATCATCAAGATCTAATGGGATGCCTCTGAATTGAAATGGTGCAAAATCAGGAAACAGATGCGTAACCACTGTTGATATTCTAGAGATGGAAAAGAGCTAAATAGTAACAAAGACTTCAACCGTTGGAGTAGTTGCTAGAACTCTCTCACAGCTAAAATCAATACCTTTAACACATAGCTTACTAATCCTTCTATCATGTTTCAAATAAGAAAAATATTCTTGACATGAATGTGACCACTGGGAGGAAATTAGCCAATTAAATAAAAGCAGTGGAAAACCTGAACACAATTAACCATAGAATTAGGATAGGATAGGATAGGATAGGATAGGATAGGATAGGATAGGATAGGATAGGATAGGATAGGTGGGAATGGGAATGCAGGGCATCAGGGAATACAAAGGACAAAACACTTAGAAGTAAGAAAAGTAAATCTGCCTGAAACTCAAAGAAAAAGTAAGTCCTATGTTTTAGGAAGCGCTTAAGAACAGAATTCCATCTAAATTAGCTGACTGATTCAGCAAATAGTTACTGATCATGACTACATGCTCATACTGCTTTTGGCCAGGGGATACAAAATACCTTGCCTCTTATGAAGCTTAAATTCTAATGAATGAGGGAGGTGGATGGGTAGAAAGTATAAAGGCTGGGAGAGGCATTAATATTTTAAGGAAGGTCATGAGGACAATATCAAAAAGAAAGTCTGGTGCTTTCTGTTTGTTTTGCAGTGCCAAGGGTCTAACCCAGTCTCACTGGAGCAAGGTACATGCTCTATCACTGAGCAATATACCCAGGCCCAAAGAAATAGTGTGAATAAGGTGAAAAAAAGTGACTTAAGAAAAATATGAGAACAGCTCAGTGGAAGACGCCTGAAGTTTGATCCGGAGCAATGCAAGATTTTAAAAAAAAACAAAAAGACAGTGACCTAGAAACCTGGGGGACTGGGTACATACATATAAGGTAACTGCAAAGGTCCTCAAGCATGACTAGGCCTGTGAGAAAACGACAAGAGTTTAACATAAGGACAAAATAAGTAACCAGAATACAACAGGGGCCAGAAAGCTTAAGGCCTTGTAGAAAACAGGAAGACTCAGATTAATCTGAGTTTTAGACATCCCTAAGAACTCACACTTATTTGGCTCTTTTACACTAAAATGCGCAAGTAAAATTTCTACATTTTATTAGGTGTTATGGAGAAAATACAGAGGAGCAGAAAATATGATTACTCCCCTGAAGACAGTGAAGATTTTAAATTCTTCTAAAAGTAAATTCTAAATCAAATGAATTTAAAATAATAACAAGGAAAAATGGCAAGCACGAGGGCATGAGTTTGATCCCCGGTCCAAAAAAAAAAAACAAGGAAAACGTTCTGTATCCATACACAGCTTTAAAAAATACCATATTTAAACTCTAGGTTTTAGAGAAATTCCTAAAATTACATCACCACAAGAATGTAGGAAAAGATTGGAGAGAAAGAGACAGAGACAGAGACAGAGACAGAGACAGGAAAAGATGAAGAATTAAAGAAATTGAGTCAGAAAAAAACATAGCTGAACGATATTGTTCCCTACTCATTTCAGTCACATAAAAACTTAAAATGGTTTGATTTCTATGAAATGAAATTCTGGCTAAAGATATTTATGACAAAAAGATATTTATGACAGAAAAAGAGAAGACTTTTTGAAAAAACTGGTAACACACAGGGCTCTTCAATGAACTTAGATTTTTAAAGATACAGAAAAAATGCAGAATAGACACGTAACACAGTGGCTATGGCTACGAAGGAAACACCAGATGACATCAGGAAGTAAAATGCTCACCATGAGCTGAACTTAAATCCATCAAGGTCTGCAAGAGGCTTCTGAATTTATGTCTGGAGAGGAAAATACAAAACCCAAAGCACACAGGTTAAAATATGTGGTACAGTTAACATATTAGAAAGAAAAAAAAAAAAACCTTCACTTCTGTTTTGCTTTTTAAAAACTTTATGCTTGAATACCACATTACAATTCACAATGACCTTTTACAAACTGCTATTTTCCAATGCCCTCGAGAGTTCATCTCAGTCCTTCTTTAGAAAGAATTCTCGGGGCTGGGGATTTAGCTCAGCAGCATAACCACCTATCTTGCAAGCAGGCAATTGTGAGTTCGATCCCTGGTACCGATTAAAAAAAAAAAGGAAGAAAGAAAGAATTCCCAGTTCATGTGCATCCCCCTACCTCTGCCTTTCCTTCTCTTCCTAGCCTCATCAGAACTGGAGTGTTGGGATGGTACAACCTGAAGCCCAAAACAGTGAGAAGGCCGTAACAGTGCTGCTCACTGTGAACATTCTGATCTGGCCAGTTGAGTGAGTATTGTGAACAAGTAAGTATCATGAGCCTGCATGTAATTTTGCTATGTTGTAAGTACACTGACAAATTGTAAGACAAGAGAGTTTTGCTGGATAAACACAGGAGACAAACTGTTTATTTTTCAGAATGAGAAAAAACATAGACATCACAAAAAACTGTTTATCATCTAGCTTGCGGAAAATTCTAGAATAGAGTTACATTTGTTTTTGAATAGACAAAGATAGGTGATCACTAAGCTTGGAGAGGACAAGTCCTGCCAGGTAACTTTTCTGTCAGCAACCCTACAGGACAAATCTATGTGACTACCTGAAAAGTATTCCACAGGGTTTACGCAACAGTTCTTAGTTGAGTGACAAATACATTTATAAGAGATTTAAAAAAAACTCAGTTCGCTCATAAATAAGTTCTGCAAGACTCACAAGGCTTACCCTATTGTTACCAATGATCAAGAAAAAAGCTTCTGACAACACCCATATCAAAGTGTAGGGATGAGTAGAACCTGGACAGAACCATCAAGAAATGGGACAGCACAATTAGAATTAAAATTATTTTAACAGGTTATCAGCTTCAACAAATAAAATTTAATACAGAAAATATGACAAATACTTGAGTTAAAAAAATCAAATATTAAGTGATAAACTAATGTAAAAAAGCAAAAATTTTTGACTAAAAGTTAAGAAAGTGAAATGGTTACCCCTCAAATTTATGCACTAATTTTAGGCTGAGTTCATAGGTCCTTGAGGTCAGGAACAAGGATAATGAGCCCAAATTCTATGCTGTACCAGTTAGCTTAGATCTGGGGAAGTGTTAAATACTTAGCAAGGTCCTACAGCCATATCAAGGTGTAAAATAAGTACCCTCAGAACTTAAAATTTAAGTCAGTCTTTGGTAGTAATGCCAGCATGAATCAATAGAGTATTAGAAATTAGCTATCAACGTAAGTGATTCCAAGAAAATGGATGGCTGAGATCTGATGAAAAGTAAAAAGGGTATAGTTCTCAATTGTGTTTTCCTTTGGATAAAGACTGTGTTAACTAACAGAAAAAGACCATTAGTCCAGAGTCAGGGAGCAAGAGTCTAACCAAGCAACACATGACCAGTATGCCCACAACACTGAAGTCAAGTCATTCTGATCATGGCGAGCAGTGCTGAGCAGGTTAAGTCCACTGGAAGCGGTTCCATTCAGTTAGCCTAGCTTAGTGACATTTTCTGTTAAGCTGACCTTGTGACCAGAATGCCTGCAAGAGAGTGTTTGTTAACCAAATAATGCAAGCTTCCATTCATTCTACTCACAGGGACATAAATGAGCTCGCTAATTAGTACTCTTGTCTTTTGATCACTCATTAAATATAAATGAATTCCCTAATAATGATGACTTCTGGACTCAAAGAAAAAAATTCACAGGCATAGACCTGGAAAACTGAGGTTTATACCTTAAATACAACAACCCATTAAATATCTGAGAAGCCCTGCCTTTTATGACAATTGTATCTTGTCTAAAACTGAAGCACACATTTGTTAACGAAATAAAAATGTATGCACTGGGGTGTGGCCATAAAGTGGAAACACTGGAATTTCAAATATCTGAACAAATTCAATGAAGATGTTTAACCTGAAACAGAGAGGAAATAAAATAGCCATCTTCAAAATCACTAAGTTACATAAAGAACTTCCCATTGTTATGAACCATACGTGGGTTAGGGTTAGTCCATAACAAGTGTTTAACATGCTATCTGATATTGTATTTTAGGAGGTAAGTGGGACATATACACGACACTGTAGGAAAATCAAACAGAAGTACCTAAGTGACCAGAAGGAGAGTCAGAAAGGCCCCCATTAAAGAGGGGATGCCTAAACAGAGTCTTTAGAAAACACAGGAATTACCCAGAAAGTAGTGTGTGTGACCCAAGGTAAGAAAAGAACAGTGGTTCAGTGCGGTTGGAGAGGGAAATAAGAGTGATGAGAGATAAGGAAAGAAAATTAAAAGACCTCATATCATAAAGGAACTCAGATGTCATGAGAGGGATTCTGCAGGCAGCTGGGGCTCACTGGAAATTCAAGTGCAAGAGTTATCTACTCAGATTTATCTTTGGCTGCCACAGTAGAACCCTGTAGCAGCCAACAGTAGATTGACACAAGGCAAAACTGGTAGCAGGGAGAAACCACTGTTACTGTAACTTGGTGCCTGAATGAAGATACTAGGCCTGGAAGCAAAGCAAGGGTTCAAGAAGTAATAAGGAGGACTTACTGAATGACTGGGTGTGATGATAAGAAGGAAGACTCAAGGACCATTTCCAGGGTTATGATTTAGTAGAGGATAAAATCACATGGTAAGGAACATGGGAAGGGCTATAGGAAGAGAAAAGAAGAGAAAGTTCTGGAAAAGTTGAAGCCAAGTTATCTGTGAAACACACCAAAGTGGTGGCATCCAGGAGACAGACAATGGAGTCTCAAATTCAAGAGAGGTTTGAGGAAGACATGCAAGTCTGGACATCATCACAGAATGGCTATTAAAGGTATCAGAGTATATGAGATCACACACACCTCAAAGGCTAAGGCTTAAGAAGAGGCCTGGGGGCAGAAGGCTGGGAAATGTCAACCACTAAGGGAATGAAAACTAGCTATTCTAGGAGGTCATCTACAAGACCTTTCAATTCTGAAAATCACTCAAAACCTTCAATATAATACTTTTGAAAAGTAACTTCTTACCACTACAGGAGATCAGATTGGAAGATTAAAGGCTCTGTGAAAGGCAGCATGAGTGCATGCTGACATGCTGCAAGAGAAGCAAGAAACAGTTTAGAGTACCATGGATACTGGGAGACAGATGAACATGTCTTAACAACTGCTTATGTCTGTGTCGGAATGAAGAGAACTCAGGTGCGCCAGTCATTCAGGGGTGTCTGTCAAAGGGAGACAAGAGCCCCCTGGCCTTCCACAGTTTATCTGTTCTGTGTCTCACCTTCATCTCCCCTTGGTCAGGTACGAGTTCACAGGTTGAACCCCCTACATATCATCACCACAGAAAAACAAAATAGGTATTTTAATTCTTTGGCTTTGTTGGTCTAATGATGAAAAAACACTCTGAAGAAAAATTGTTTTGCTGCTTGGTAATTTTTTTTTTTTCTGAAAGGAAAAGAATAAGTGGTTTATTCACACAGGAGTATGCAAACTCCAGATTTAAACTCTTAACCTATTTTTCCTTCTGTGGGTCTACTTATATTCTCAGTCAACTTGAAAATACAGTTTTATCACTTGCAAAAACTCAAAAACATGTTCTTATTTATTTTTCCCTTCACTTTTTGCCACTTGCATGTCTGGGATATACATAACTTTTATATCTTTTACTATATCTACTAAAATTCATTTACTATAATTCAAAAATGACTATAATTTTTACTAATATTTAAGTTATATTGGTTTGTTTCCCTTTCTGCTCACTTCTAAAAATAGACTCCAGTATACACCAATCTTTTATTAAATCTATGAAGGTTCGATTAAAACAAACTATCCCCCACAAAAAAAAAAAAAAAAAAAAAAAACCTATCACTTTTGCAATGACAACACATCAATGTCCTCTGTGACAGAAGTGCTGGCAGTTCAGTTTAATCCTAAAACCTGGCTACAGTCCCACCAAAGTGCACCTGGAACAGATCTCAAGGTACTTAACTTCTTTTTACTGTATGCACTTTCTTCTGTGCTCCCCCCTTAAGTCTCTCCCAGCACTTCACAAGAGGCCTGCTTCTTCTGCTCTTGTCTTTCACTTTCCAATGAAAGCTGTGCCCAAACCCATAAACTTTTACCTTTATCAGTAATGGCACTAAAGCTAACACAGCTGCCAACCTATGGCCAAAAATATAATAGATATAATTCAAATTGGAGTAGACCATTAACTGGTTCTCTGTAGGAAACAACTTAGTTATATCCTGTTTCAGTGACCCAACCGTAAGGACAGAAAAGGTAATCACTCTAGAAAGTCAACTTAAGTGAAAAGAACCACCCAGTGCTCTTTAGCTCCAGAAGTGAAAAGTTCACATTTTGCAGAGGCAGGTCTCTGCACAAAAAAGGGGGCAGAGGATGGGCTAGACACAATGTTTGACATTGACACTGAAGTTTAAGTCATATAAAGTTATTAAGTTGTATTCTTTAAAAATGTAACAAGGGTTAGAGTAGAAAAGTTGTGGGGTTTTTTTGTTTTTTTGTTTTTTTTTTTTTAAGACAGATCTCACTATGTAGCCCTGGCTGGCCTCAAACTCGTAGTGATCCTCCTTATGAGTGATGCGGAACAGAATGAAAGGACTCTAGGTACTGTGTTAGTTTTATAGTCCTGGGAAGCCGAGGAAAAGGCAAGTAATTATGCCCCTACCACAATTCCCTCCCTCAAGTCTGGTGCTCTTGAAACTGCAGCATTCTTTTTATACAACAAGCCTAGGGGCTCTAGGCCTTCACTAAGGGAAGATGCCACTCCACACATTTCTACTTTCACAAAATGAAAGCAAGACAATTTCTTGCTGCCATTCCA